TCTCTCTCTCTCTCTCTCTCTCTCTCTCTCTCTCTCTCCTCTCTCTCTCTCTCTCTCAGAGTCCGGTACTAACCTGTGAAGGTGGCGCCTTGTTCCAGGTACATCGAAGACGAAGCTGGAGCTATGGCGCCACAGGTAAGTCTCCCTGGCCTCCGCCAACCATCTCTCTCTCTCCACTACTACTCTAGCTCCTGATAGCGCCCAGCGCTGAAGACTACTGCGAACGCTACTACTACTACTGCAGCGCTCCTCCAGAGTGCTGCTGCCTAATCCTGAAGACTGCCTCCTGCCTCCTGCACGTGAAGTGCCTGGGAAGTTCCTATGAACTACCTCGTGACTGCCTGGAGCCTGGTCGGGCCCTGCAGGCCCGTGTGGCTGCGCCGTATGCCACAGAGAGAGAGAGAGAGGAAGGAGGGGAGAGAGAGAGGGGATGGTGGTTACCCACCTGGCAACTTTACGAGCTGAGGCTGCGCTCCTCCCGCTGCTTCTTCGACTCCTTCACGATGACTGTCGTGCCCTGGGTATGGCTGGACGATGACGCCTTCGACTGCTGCTGCTGCACAGGAGACGTGGCGGCAACCATGCGACGGGCAACGCACGGCGGGCGCGAAGGGCACAAAGCTGGACTACCGGGGTTCATCCAGGCAGTGAGGGGCAGCATTCCGAATTCAAAACTTCAAAAACAAACTAACTTCAGCTGCCCCCCTTTTTTTTATTCCGAGGCCCCCCGCGGCCTCAAATTGTTGTTGTTTTTTTTTTTGTGGTTCGCGAACTTCCTTTTTTTTCCGTCGACCCCTTATTTTCGGGGTGCGCCGCACCCCGTGCGGGGTGCAGTTCATGTCGATGCGCAGCAAGTATGTTCATGAGTGCAGAAGGAAGGTCAGAAGTCCTTGTCAGAGTGAATGGATGAGAGGAGCCATGGGCTACTGCATTGACTATTTGACATGCAATTTATGTTGCCTTTTTGCCCCTCGACAGATTATTCAGAAATTGGGTGCAGCAATCCAAAGATTGCTGGATGGTTTGAAGGAGAATATGGATCATGTGCCGGAAACAAGATGGAACAAGGTGAGCACCACAGTTTGATGTCCGCATTCTCTGTGCCAGCAGTGGCCATTTGCTTGGGGGTTGGCTTTTTTTTCTCTCTTTACTGGTGTTGTTATTCTCTCAGTTATCACTGCGGAATGTTGTGTGTGTCTCCTTTCTTCCTGTTATATATCTCTGTTTGATTGTTTTTTTCTCTTCGCTTGTGTGAGGATTGAGCCCTCAAGAAGGGGCGTTGCCATGATGTACATGTTCTGGGCTAAGGCCCCAGCAAGCCTCGTGCTCGCCCTAAGTGAACGCGGGCCAGCAAATCAACAAGAGCCCTCTGTGCAAACATTTCACGAAGTGGGGTCCCTACAGTTGCAGCACGCCGGTTGGTTGGAGTGCACCGAGTATCGGAGCTCTGCAAATGCAGAAATCCCAGGGCCCCAGAGTTGGTTAGGCCCTGGGCACATAAACGTGAGGCCGGCAATGCATGCTGGTCATAGAGGCCGAAAATGCCAATGGGAAACCGGTCCACTATCTGAATCTTGCCGCAGGCCTTGATGAAAGAGGCGCAACTGCATCTCCTGGGCCCCAACCGCATTGTGCCTGGGTTCAGGTACTGGGGCCCAGGCGCAGGCTCAAGGGAGGCCGCCCACACGCAACACTGGCATATAGGCAGGGAGAGCGAGTGGGCAGGGATCTTGGCCAATGCAGGCATTGCGGGCACGCTTCTGCATTGTAGCGCTGCACTTGTGCTGCGGCTGAGGGAGACAGGCTAGCGCTAAGCGGTAGAGTGCAGCCTGGGCGCAGGGCGCTGGCGGGCATAGCCGGGCTGCCTGTGGGCGCAGAGGAGGTGAAGGGCGAAGGTGGTTCTTCGGAGGTGAAGGGCGCTGTGTGGGATAACAAGGGAGAGKGAGGGTGAAGAGAGAGACGTACCTGGTGGAGAGGAGGTCGGCATTGGTGTTGACATCATCACTCGCTGGTCGTCAAGTTGTCTTGTTGCTTCCATGCTGTAGTTGTAGTGATAGGCTGTAGAGTAGGTAGGGCGCCAGGCGCCATTCAATAGAGAGAGCTACATTGGGTTATGCTGTTGGTGTTGCCCGATTTGGGCTTGGACATTGACTCACGATTCTTCTGTATCGTTCTCAAATGGATGGTTACTCGGTTCCATTGTGCTATCTGCTCTTGCTTTGCCTACTTGGACTTCAATGTGATTTTGCAATCTGGATTTTTGTGCTTCGTCCATATTCATGTTCCTTGCATTTTAGTATCGGAGCTGGTTCGATTCGCCACTTACTTTGGTGCGTTGGCGTTATACAGACTTGGTGCGTTGACGATGCTTCTTCGCAGTTGGTTCTTGTGACGTGAGGCCAACATTAGGCGCACGACCTGGGTAGAGAGGTGTGCGCCGGAAGGCTATACGGCATGGTATGCCGTGGTTACCTCGAAATGTATGATTGGTGATGAGAGCATGCTGATGTGGCAGTTAGCTGAGTTGGCACTGCATTGCGTTGTGGGTGGTACCAAGGCTACGACCGGTCATCAAATGCACACTCAGCTCAATTGGTGAGATATCTGTGGTTGGGGGCAGCTATCTCCAGGTACGTTGTTCCCTTACCTTATCTACCCTCTCAGTCTCTTCTTACTGCGAGGAAGTGAGTCCAACTTGAGAGTCCTCTCTTTTGGTGAGGTGTTTTATGCGCGCTACCTTGAGAGACGACAATCTTCCCGGAAGCATCTGGAAGGAGAAAGGGCGGTGCCTCTGAAGGGCTCTGGTCGAAGCACTGGGTCAGGGTCACCATGCCAACCCAATGGGAGTAGGTCACGCATGCGATGGCTGCTTGTCCATTTTGGCACTTTGCTGCGCTATAGAAGTCGTGTCGGGTGTGCCAGCCCATAAGAGACGCTTACCAGACCGTCTATAAATACTTCTGGTTGGGGACTCGGTTGATACTGGCTGTGATCGTCATCTTGACTGCGGCGTTAAATAATTCCTGAGGAGATGGGGCCTCTCCTTAAATCCCTCCTGATCAGCCAGATCAATCCGGGTAGTAAGGCTCGTTCCGTACGAGGGTAAATAAGAGTGGATGGGCTGGGGGCCGACATTACACACGAAGACACTGCTGCTCAAAGATGCTTTTCGGTATGTTGGATTGAGGGGAGGGCAGATTCTAATTGGTGCTCAACTGTAGAAACAACTATACCCATTGTTCATACATCTGCAACATAGTCTGGTTTTGTTCTTGATTAGTTGGTTGACAGACTGCTAATACCTCACAGACAGTTTAGTATTAGGACTGTTGTATACTACCATAGCCAGTTGTATGCAAACTTTTGTAAGTGAACTAATCATGACAAGACTAAACTATGTGGACAGTCTTTTGTGAATGTTGTAGGCTGCCACTTGATTTGTCAAGTTGGGGACCTGCCGGACACATTTTATTTTTAGAAAATTAGGTGCCGGTCAGACACATGTTGTGGTAGGACTCCAGCAGGGAGTTGTAGTGCAGATAGTGTTTGCCTAACTGATGAGCGGGTCAGACACCGATGAGGGAAGAGTTGACAATGTCAGACTGACACGTTCGGGAGCACTTAGGGTCCCGCACATGTTTCGGACCCTACAACTGGGAGACGGAGCACGGCTTCGTGCCGAACGTAGAGCCCGTGCTCTTGCAGCAGCGAGGGCAACAGCAAACTTAGCAGCTAGAGAACAGGTAGCAGCAGCCAGAGCAGCAGCAATGGCTAACGACGCAACCTCTGCTGCATCCTCGCCAGGGACCCTGTTGGGAATGCCCTCAGGGCCCGCGGGTACTTCCGGATCAATAGGTGATGGACAGTCCACAAGTCAAATGGTGGGCTCGCAGTTAAGCCCGTTGACCCCACGCGGCAGGGAGCTCCTAGAGCTCCAATAGGTCGAAAGGATCCGCGAGCGGTTAGAGAGAGAACTGAAGCAAGCTACTGATAGAGAAAAGGAGATTAAAAATAGAACAGCCAGGCTTGATACGTTGGAGGCAGACAAGGCTGCATTAGAGGGTTTGGATGAGTCAGCCATGTCTGACCAAATGAAAATATTGAAGAACAGTGTATTGTCGCTGCATGTGCATGTGGACAGCAGACTTGACTTTATGCAGAACTCTTTGGACCAGATCTTGGACCTTTTGCAAAGGCCAGGATTCAGGCCAGCAGCAGAGTCGCCGTTGCCGTTAACGGCGATGTCAGGCCCCTTTCCGGTACAAGCTGGCACACAGCCAAGTGGTACGTCTGCCGCAGCCACACAGACTGTTGCTTCTTCTTCTTCTGGGTCAGCGGGGATAGCTACACCACCGCAACAGCCTGTTCCTCAACAGGGACAACAGCAAGGTCAATGGTACCCAAAGACCCCTATGAAACCGCCCCTTGCCTTCTCCGGAGAGAAGAAGGATGAGGAACTTAACACATGGTTGAGAACGGTTCCCGTGTGGGTAAGGGCAAAGAGGACTTTGCAGGAGGAGGAGGTGATCACTGCTGCATCTTACCTTGAGGGTAAGGCAACCAAATGGCTAGATGGATTAGTAGCAAAGGCCGGGTACGGACGACGCATGGCGGACTGGGCTAAGACCCTAACGTTAGAAGAGTTCTTAGACATGGTAGAAGCTCGCTGGCACAATCCACAGCAGGCACAAATTGCCACTGATGCAATGCTCAGACTAGACCAACGAAAGTTCAAGTCGGTCAGAGAGCTAACGACTACCGTAGAGAGCCTCATCGTCGTTCCTGGCATACGCTACGATGACCAGGTCTTATTGACCATGTTTGTGAGATGTCTCCCAGAGAATCTCATAAATTTGCTGGCCAGTGAGGCTCGCCTCGAGTATCACTCGTTTGAGACCTTATCTAGAAAAGCCTTAGACCTAGAGGCTACTCTAGGAAGTGCTCAACCCACTCCAGTAGAAGGGAGGAAGAAGAAGGGTCCACAGGAATGGAAGAAGAAGGGGAGCAAATTGGTGATGGTTGAGTCCGATGGAACTCAAACTGAGATCGAAGAGCTCACAGACCTATTGGACTGTACAGAGTACGACGCCGAGGAGACCGCTGAGGGTAGCACCCTTGCCGCAGTTGTAAAGACTAAGGGAGGTGGCCGAGGGAAGGGCCATCAAAAGAGTCGAGGGCAGGCTGCCTCCAACCAGACCAAAGTTGTTGATTGGGCCAAGGCAGGTCTTGATCAAGAAGTGTGGCGGGACAGCCGAGTGCGTGGTGCTTGCATTAACTGTGGTGAATACGGACACACCCAGTACAAGTGCAAAAACGCAAAGGTCACGCAGAAGATACCTCCTAAGATGGGGGCAACTTCTTCCCAGGCTTCTAGCTCGGGAAACACGTGAGGCCGGTGGACGTTTTAGCTGCTTTTACTCATGGTGAAGTGGGCCAGATACCCTCCCCACTTCATGAGATGGCCATAGCTAATGACTCTTTAGTCACCCTGCAGACTCATCCAGACCAAACTATGCTATGTACGTTGGATGTGTCTGAAGCCTTAGAAGATTTGGAAAGTGAGTGGTCAAGCAAGGACCCTCGCGAATCTTGGTTGGCACTAAGGAAAGGTCCTAGAGGGGAACATTTTCGTTGTGGAAGTTGATGTAGGAGTCCGCAAATGTGGTGCCTTCATAGACATCGGCTCCACGCGGAATTACATAAGTCGCGACTGTTGGAAAGGCTGCACCTAAAGGACCGGGTACAACACCTTAGTAGACCAATAGCATCTACTTTGGCCAATAAGGAGCGCATGGTTGTCACAGACTATATTAAAGATGTAGTCTGTGCCTTCTCCTATGGAGAAGGCTTCTCCTATGGAGAAGGGGAACTTAATCATAAGATTTGGTTCCTGATTAGCGACGATTTACCATTCGATATGTTATTAGGGATGTACTACCTTGAGGTTGCCAAGCCCCAGTTTGACTGGGACAAGAAGGTGCTAAAGCATAAGTTGCCTGATGGAAGAACAGTGAGGCTGACTAAGTTTAAAGCCAGTAGTATAATCGATACCTATGGCTGCTTGTGTGCATCAGCGTTCTACAATTACTATAAACAAAACCAAGAGGAGGGTATGTACCTAGTGTATGTCTCTGAGAAAGGGGCAGCCGTCAAAACACCCCCAGAGATAGAACATGTCGTTGCTAAGTTCCCTGATCTGTTCACTGAGCCTACATGAGTCGTAGAGAGGGAGATTGTCCATGCCATAGAAATCATTCCAGGGAGTGAAACCCCAAAGAGAAGGATCTATAGGATGACTCCGGCTGAGTTGGATGAATATAGGATGACTCCGGCCGAGTTGGATGAACTTCGGCGACAACTGAAAGAGCTGACAGAGAAGGGATGGATCCGGCCGAGTACTTCCCCTTACGGATCTCCTTTGCTATTTGTATCGAAGAAGGGGGGTACATTGAGGATGTGTATTGATTATAGAGGCCTGAATGCCATCACAATGAAAAACGCAGAGCCTCTACCTCGCATAGACAACCTATTGGATAGGGTGCAAGGATGTAAGTACTATAGCAAGATAGACTTAAAAGTCCGGCTACCATCAGATCGCAATAAGACCTGAGGATCAACACAAGACTGCTTTTCAGACCAGATACGGTCTGTATGAGTTTGTAGTGATGCCCTTTGGCCTTTGCAATGCGCCGGGTACATTCCAGCATGCCATGAATAGGATCTTCCATGACCACTTAGATAAGTTTGTCGTTGTCTACCTTGACGATATTCTTATCTTTAGTTAAGTCTATCGAGGAGCACGCACAGCACGTTGAGACTGTACTTTCACTCCTGCGACAACACAAGTATAAGGTCAACCGAGAAATGTGAGTTCGCACGCACTAAGATCTTATACTTGGGTCATGAAGTATCCGCGGAAGGGATTAGGCCGGAAGATGCGAAGGTGGCTAGTATCAGGGACTGGCCACGACCTCAGACTGTTAGTGAGGTTAGATCTTTCTTAGGAATGTGCGGCTACTATAGAAACTTTGTAAAAAACTATTCTACAGTCGCCTCTCCTTTGACCGATCTAACTCGACTTGACACGCCGTGGGACTGGAGTGATAAGTGCGAGGCTGCTTTCAAATGATTGAAGCATGCACTCATGAATCATGAGGTTCTCATGGTGCCCGATCCTCGGAAGCCTTTCATAGTAACCACTGACGCAAGCCAATAAGGCATTGGCGCAGTGCTGGCTCAGCAGGATGGGAAGAAGTTGAGACCGATTGAGTACATGAGCAAGAAAATGCCATCAAAGAAACTGGCAAAGTCCACCTATGAAAGGGAATTCTATGCTCTCTATAAAACACTTGTCCATTGGAGGCACTTTCTGTCGGGACGGTTCTTCTACTTGAGAACTGACCATCAGACCCTCAAATGGATCAAGACTCAACCGACTCTTTCTGATGCACTCAAGCGTTGGATTGAGGTCATAGATCAGTATGACTTCAAGCTAAGAGTATCTGAAGGGAGAGTACAATAAGGTTGCACATGCGCTGTCCCGTACAGCAAACTACCTAGGGACGCTAGTTTCTGAGTTTGGTGTATCTGAGGAACTAACTCAATCGCTGGTGGGAGCCTATCAGGAAGACCCTGTCACGATGGACATCATACGCAAACTTCAGGCAAAAGACAAGGCCACAGAAAATGAGTTTGTGATGGTGGACGGGATTCTCTTTCTTGAAAAGGCCGGGTTTAAAAGGTTAGTTGTTCCATCTAGTGAACGATTGCGCAGTTTATTCTTAGGGGAATGTCATGACGCAACCGGACACTTTGGCTACAAAAAGACGAGTGTCAATCTAGTACAACGATTTTGGTGGCCAGGAATGTTAGAAGATGCAAAGAAGTATGTGGAGACCTGTCAGGTCTGTCAGCGGGACAAGCCGCGAACTCTAGCACCGCTTGGGTTGCTGAAGCCCTTACCTATTCCAGCTGGTCCACGACAGTGTTTCCATGGATTTCATGGACACCCTGGTGACCAGTAAGAGTGGCAAGAATTGCCATGCCAGAGACCGCAAGGACTGGCCAAGTCATCAAGTTGTTTATGGACAACTGGGTGCGCGATTTTGGACTACCAAAGTCAATTGTTAGTGACAAAGATGTCCGCTTCACAAGTGAGTTGTGGAAGAAGACTACTGAACAGATGGGCAGTCAACTTCAGATGACTTCAGGGAATCATCCCGAAGCCAATGGACAGGCCGAGCAAATGAACAGAGTTGTTCAACACCTGCTGAGGCATTACATCAAGCCCAGTCAGGATGATTGGGATGAGAAGTTGCCTCTCATCGCCAACATGTACAACAACGCTGTACACAGCAGTATCGGCGTTAGTCCTAATCAGCTGCACTTGGGATGGAAGCCTAGATCAGCTCTGGACTTCCTCCTACCTGAAAACCGACCCTCTGCAACTCCAGGCACACTTGAGTATGGTGTGCAATATGAGAAGTTGCTGCAGCAAGCTGCCGAGCACATCAAGAAAGCTCAGCAAGCAATGATTGCTTCTGAGAACAAACATCGCGGGCAGTCCTCATTTCAGGGAGGGGAGCGTGTCCGGGTCAAGGCTAGTGAGCTAGGACAGGAATTCGAAATCTCTCGTAAACTAATGCCTCATTAGTTGGGTCCCTGGGAAGTCCTGGACATAGTTGGGGATGAGTTGGATGGTCCTACTTATGTTATCCGCATCCCTGGTCATCTGCGCACTCACCCTGTCTTTCATGCCTCAAAGCTTGCACCTTTCGCTGAGACAGATCAGTTCCCTTCCAGGAGATCAATGCTGCCCCCAACCATGGATGGTCAAGTGGACATCGACGACATTGTGGATCACAGAGATCTGCCTGTTCCAAAGCCACTGGGTAGAGGAAGACCTCCCAAACCCAAGCGGGAGTACCGCGTCAGATTCAGGCATCATACGGATCCAAAGGAAGATCGGTGGTTCACCAGAGAGGAACTGATTGACACAGCTCCTCAAGCGGTGGCAGATTATGAGAGAATGCTAAAAGGGAAGGCACCTGCGAAGTAAGCATCTCAGCGGACTTTCGAAGCTAAGGGGGATGGAATGTGAGGATTGAGCCCTCAAGAAGGGGCCTTGCCATGATGTACATGTTCTGGGCTAAGGCCCCAGCAAGCCTCGTGCCCGCCCTAAGTGAAGGCGGGCCAGCAAATCAACAAGAGCCCTCTGTGCAAACATTTCACGAAGTGGGGTCCCTACAGTTGCAGCACGCCAGTTGGTTGGAGTGCACCGCGTATCGGAGCTCTGCAAATGCTGAAATCCCAGGGCCCCAGAGTTGGTTAGGCGCTGGGCACATAAACGTGAGGCCGGCAATGCATGCTGGACATAGAGGCCGAAAATGCCAATGGGAAACCGGTCCACTATCTGAATCTGGCCGCAGGGCTTGATGAAAGAGGCGCAACTGCATCTCCTGGGCCCCAACCGCATTGGGCCTGGGTACAGGTACTGGGGCCCAGGCGCAGACACAAGGGAGGCCGCCCACACGCAACACTGGCATATAGGCAGGGAGGGCGAGTGGGCAGGGATCTTGGCCAATGCAGGCATTGCGGGCACGCTGCTGCATTGTAGCGCTGCACTTGCGCTGCGGCTGAGGGAGACAGGCTAGCGCTAAGCGGTACAGTGCAGCCTGGGGGAAGGGCACTGGCGGCCATAGCCGGGCTGCCTGTGGGCGCAGAGGAGGTGAAGGGCGAAGGTGGTTCTTCGGCGGTGAAGGGCGCTGTGTGGGATAACAAGGGAGAGTGAGGGTGAAGAGAGAGACGTACCTGGTGGAGAGGAGGTTGGCATTGGTGTTGACATCATCACTCGCTGGTCGTCAAGTTGTCTGGTTGCTTCCATGCTGTAGTTGTAGTGATAGGCTGTAGAGTAGGTAGGGCGCCAGGCACCATTCAACAGAGAGATCTATATTGGGTTATGCTGTTGGTGTTGCCCGATTTGGGCTTGGACATTGACTCACGATTCTTCTGTATCGTTCTCAAATGGATGGTTACTCGGTTCCATNGCCCGATTTGGGCTTGGACATTGACTCACGATTCTTCTGTATCGTTCTCAAATGGATGGTTACTCGGTTCCATTGTGCTATCTGCTCTTGCTTTGACTACTTGGACTTCAGTGTGATTTTGCAATCTGGATTTCTGTGCTTCGTCCATATTCATGTTCCTTGCACTTGGCATGCAAGGGAAATATTAAAAAAATGCAGATTTTCACCTGACAAGTCTTGACCATGGACTTGCTGAGAAGACAAGCCAATGAGAAGGGCACAAAGGTGAACTGGAAAACTCAAGGCATCATTATCCGGAGTTGGAACGTTAATGGCTTGGGAAACATTATGAAACGGTTTTCACCTTTTGCAGTCACAGATGCGGATCCCAGGGCTCAATCCCCAGACCTTACCTTACCTTACCTTCCCTGTGTACAGTATCAAGTCCGCCCTGTGTGTCTTAAACCCGTGACCTGTGTGTTAGTAGTTGAATCTGTTGTAGGTCTGAGTAGTTGTCGAGTCTTGAACCTTAGACCTGTCGAAGTAGGGGTCATAACTGGATAGGGGTCATAGTTGTTGTAGTTCTGAAAGGTCAAGGTCGTAGCTGCTACAGTCCTGAAAGGTCAAGGTCGTAGCTGCTATAGTCCTGAAAGGCCAAGTCCGCAAACTTCCGGAAGGTCCGGAAGTGGCCTTTCAAGTTTCTCCTCACGTTATACACAGCAGATCAGAGGCAAGTGGGCAAGTGGTGAGTCCAACATCGCTTAGTCAGCGGTACCCAGTGCCAGTCTCACTTTGTACAGTCAGCAAGTACCATGAGGGACTGTGTGCACCATGGGCCCGGTGGAAAAGGGCAGACCAGCGACTTACTTGAAGATGTCGCCCAATGCAGACCATCGCCAATGCAACTGTTGACATCAGCGGCAACCCGAAGTACTTGACATCAGCGGCAACCCGAAGTACTTGACATCAGCGGCAACCCGACATCAGCGGCAATGCAACTGTTGACATCAGCGGCAACCCGAAGTACTTGAAGATGTCGCCCAATGCAAACCATCGCCAATAGAAGGTATGTGCCCTTTCATCATCATCATCGTCCTTCCCTGACTTTACACCCACGTCTTCCTCCCTCACACCCGAAGACCACTCATGCGCCTCACTGTAGTCCAAGCCCACCAGCTATGGTGGCTGGGCTATGGCGCTGCCCTCAGCAGCGCCCTTCTTCCCTGCACGACCGCACGTGTTGCACCTCGCCTCTCAGCGCCAGC